GGGGAGAAGCTGATCAGGCAAAGCTATGTCCTTATTTAGTGTATGGGGTAGAGGCAAAGGCTAGGAATACACACACACACACACACACACACACATGCACGCACACAATTATTTTCAACCCCCATCAGAAATGTGGGAGAGGAAGGGACCTGAGCTTGAGGCATCAAATGTAATGATAGAAAAGAATTATGGAGGTGCCTGGGTGGCTCAATCAGTTAAGCGTCGGCCTTTGGCTCAGGTCATGATCCCAGGGTGCTGGGGTTGAGCCCTGTGAGGGGCTCCCTGCTCAGTGAGGAGTCTGCTTATCCCTCTCCCTCTGCCTCACCCCCCAGCCCTTGCTTGTGCTCTCTCTCACTGTCTCTCAAATAAATAAATAAAATCTTAAAAAAAAAAGAATGACGTGAGAGACTATGGACTCTGAGAAACAAACTGAGGGTTCTAGAGGGGAGGGGGGTGGGGGGATGGGTTAGCCTGGCGATGGGTATTAAAGAGGGCATGTACTGAATGGAGCACTGTGTGTTATATGCAAACAATGAATCATGGAACACTACATCAAAAACTAATGATGTAATGTATGGTGACTAACATAACATAATAGTAAAAAAAGAATAATGGATCGGAGAAGTGTTTCTAAAATAGAGCTATAACACTTGATGATGAATGGAAAAGAAAAGAGGAAGGAGAGGAAAGGGACAGATATGGTTCTGAGGTCTTAAACATGAGACTGAGTAAAGGTCACAGTATTGGACCTGTGGATGTGTTAGGGAGTGTAGGGAGCGGCAGGTTGGGAGGGCAAGGAGTGGGCGGTAGGGATTTGGTTTAGGCAGGTGTGCATGGATCACGAGTTGGCTTTTGGTCATCTTGCATCTAAAGTGATAACTAGGACATCCAAATGGAAGTAATCAACAGGTGGTTAGGTATATGTGAAAGAGGTCAAGGGAGTAAAAGATAAAGTTTGAAAGGTATCTGTATATAGGTGAGAGCTGTGGAGACAGACCTCAATTTTCTTCCTAAAGATACACATGGATGAAGAAAATGATTCTAGGACAAAGTAATAAGAGGAAGGATCCAACGATAGTCTGCAGGAAGATGAAGAATTTACAAAAGAAACATGGGAAATAGTTTTCCAATCTAAAAGAGACCTTCAGATAACTCAAGGGAAGAGTTGGTTTTAGGAAAATGGTGGGTGGATACAACCCCACTCACCCATTAAACTGTGTTTACAAGGGACTATTTAATGACAAGGGGAAAATTCTCATGATACATTTATTGAAAATTATTTAGAAAATTGTATGTAGCATCCCAGTTACAAACACACACACATGCACACGCACATGGCGGGAGAGAGAGAGAGAAGGAGAAATTACAACAAAATGTGTAGAGTGTTTATTTCCAGGTGGTGGGATTTTGGGTGATTTTTTTCTAGAGATTTTTATTTATTTATTGAGAGAGATAATGATAGAGAGAGAGCATGAGAGGGGGGAGAGTCAGAGGGAGAAGCAGATTCCCTGCTGAGCGGGAGCCCGACGTGGGGCTCGATCCCAGGACTCCAGGATCATGACCTGAGCCGAAGGCAGTGGCTTAAACAACTGAGCCACCCAGGTGCCCTGATTTTGGGTGATCTTAATGAAAAAGAATGTCATTATTTAATCGTAAATAAAAAGAAATTTTAAATTTTTATATCTGTATCTTTTACAATTTATATGATGAGTGTACTTTATTCTCATTATTAGAAGAAAAGTCATTTTATTGACATCAGTTAGAAGAAGAATAAATAATGTATATGCAACATCATCTCAGTTAATGCCCACAAATATGGAATAGAATAAGCAGTATAGTCCCCTGTTTCCTGGTAAGGAAACTGACTCTGAAAGAGATGTAGGAACTTGTGTCAGTCACATAGTAAGTGATGGAGCTAAGATTCTAATCTGGTGATTTTTAAGGCACAAGCTACATATACATATCCAGCTAAAATGTCATGTCAAATGAGGGGAAGAAGTTGGCTGTGCAAACTATACATTAAGAAAAGACATGTGGGGGGCACCTGGGTGGCTCACTCGGTTAAGCATCTGCCTTCAGTTCAGGTCATGATCTCAGAGTCCTAGGATTGGGCCCCGGTCAGGCTCCCTGCTCAGCAGGGAGTTTGCCTGTACCTCTCCCTCTACCCCTCCCTCTGCTCATGTTCTCTCTCTCAAATAAATAAAATATTAAAAAAAAAAAAAGACATGCGGCAAGAAGGAAGGTACCAATGGCTTGCAAGTGTAGAGTTTCCATGGGATAGCAAAAGTGAAAAGCAATTTTCTTTCTTGATGAGAGGGGACTGGTGGTGGGGAGATGGAGGCAGATTTAGGGCATTTGATAAGAAGTGTGACAGCTTACGAGTCAAGACAGCTCAGGCCAGGCTGGGGTAAAAGACAGCCATCATCTCATGGTGTAGAACAACAGAGGTTTATACCTTGCTTATGTGATGTGGGTTGGCCTTGGGCTTCATTGTGGTCACTCTGAGACTCAGGCTGAAGGAGACATCATCTGAAACACAGTTCACAAGGAAAAGGGAAGGTCGGGCTTAAGTACTAGCACTTAAATGCTTCTACCTGGAAATGACAATGATTTTATTGGCCAAAGCCTCACCCTATTAAAATAGAGGGGCAAAATGTGGCCCTACCATGTGCCCTAAGGAGGAGAACTGGAATATTGTGAACCACCCTAATGACCACCACAACAGGGAAAACATTTCTTGCTTTTTAACGCTCCTGCTTTGGTAGCAAAGGAAATAGTTTGCAGAACTCTAGGTGTTTAACACAGGAGGTATCATAGGCATCACTAGGAAACTAGGACTCAAAGAATCAAGTGATCATTTGTACAAAGTCACCAAGAGAAACAGTGGCTGTGTGAAGACTAGAACTGTGTATCTGAGGCCAGTGACCCCAGTGGTCCTCAACGTACAATACTCACTGCCCTGGGATATGTGAATTTGGAGGAATCGTAGTCCTTGGCCTGGAAAACTATTGGAGACTCTGCTTGCTATGTGTTGAGAATAGCAGTCTCACCTCATATTAGGAGTTCCTGATGCTGGCAGCCAGTGACATCTCCATCAGTAAAAACTCTGGACTGCATCTCTTAGGTGCCCAGGTTTCTCTATGTGGTTATTGCTGAAATGACCAAGGAAGACTGCAAGTCATTACTCTAAAGTATAATTGTTAGAGTTGGGTTAATATAAAACTAGCTGGGGCTGGCCCCAACAGTAAAGTAGCGGGTGAACTAAGCACTGGGAAACCCAGTTGAGTATCTCTGTGTCTGTAGATTGCAGACAGATCAGCTTCAACTTAATGAGAGAGAGATTTAGCAGGTGAGAATCCTGGATAGTCTCCCTCTTCTCTGAGATCAATAGTGCATTTTGAATAGAGAGTGATTTATGAAAGGAAATGGGGTCATGAGGACACAGTCCATCTGATAGAGGGTTGGGCAAACTGAATCTGAGTTGGCACTTAGAATGACCATAATTTTGATCTTTTTTTACACCGCTATCAAAAATGGGGGGGGGGGCAGGAAAAATATCTGTTTCAGGCTCACCAAGCATTGCTTTGTGGAATGGCTGCTAGTCATATTTATAATATTCTATACATTTATATGAGAAATAAATATTACAGTTGCTTTTTAAATTTTGTATATTTCTAAAGTTAAAGAATAAAACTGTTCTACAATTAGGCAGGTGTGGTTCTGGGACTTTCCTGGTTAACCCTCATATTCCTTGCTTTTTAAACTGTTTTTGGTTTCGGCTTTGATTTACATTATATGGTCATCAAATTCCTCTTTTTATCAGGGAAAAATGGAGGGCTTTCTGAATCTTAAAAGCATGTAATTTACCTTGGATGTGAACTATAATGCTTATTCTGAAAAAATTCCATGTAAAACTGAAGAAATTGTGTAGAAAGTCTTTATGAATTGGAACCTAACATGTCATTGACACATTTGGAAGGGCGTTCTGTTGACTTTAGTGATGGATGATCCCATTCTGCCAAGTTCAGCTGGAAGGGGGGTGACTTAGAAACCCAAATACCAACGCTGGAATCTAGAAACTTCCTGGAACCACGGTTTTAAGTCAGGAGGGTGGATGCGGCCCGCCTCTGTGCAAGGGATGACATTTCACTGGCTTGCTCCACAGAAGTGTCTGGAACAGAACCATAAACACCAGCTCTCTTTGTTGCGTGTTGGCTTTTAAAAGCCCCCAATGGTTTGGGGAGGATAAGGCCTTGCCTTGGGGCTCCCTGGGTCCAATTTTTTGGGACCTGGCTAAAAATCCTGGATATTTGATAGTCTAGCTTATTTCTATGGTGTATTAGCACCCTATAAAAGTTACATGTCATTTATTTCAAGTTTAGAACCCTCTCAAACTTCAGGGGCAAACCAAACTTGAACCTTTTGTGGCTGAAATTCTGTTTACCTTTGGCCAAACCTTGCTTCCTGAATGTGAGGCAGGGAGGTGAGGTGAGAGGGGGCTCCTGAGGCCCCTTGGACATCAAATCGCTTTTGCCAAACAACGCTTTGATAGGTTAAAACGTGAATGAATCTGAAACACGTAGATTAACTTCCTGTCAGAATACTCTGGGGCCTACACACAGAAGTATATTGTGCTGGGCAAATGCATTTTGAGTGTTGCCTTCTGCCTACTATGAGCACTATCTGAGATTTTTGCCAAACACAGGTTGAAATTGGGTCAAGCTTGTTACCTTCCACTTGTAATAAATATATTAAAAAGTTTCCATAAAGGTTACTGGACAATCCAATTGAATGAGGACCCTGGAGAAATTTCGACATTTCTTGTGTTTGAAACATTTACTTTCAACCAGTGACAAAGAAAGAATGGACTCTAAGATACAGTGCCCAGATCAAGGATGGCTATGATTCCTTTGTGTCTGTTGTCGGAATACAGGCTAGCAAGGAAGGCCTGGTGCTTGAATGAAGGAGAAATAACACACCACGTTCCACGTGCCTTTCAGATAGAGGAACTGATGAATGCATTGGAGAAGACCCGACAGGAACTGGATGCCACCAAGGCACGCCTGGCCTCCACGCAGCAGTCTCTGGCTGAAAAAGAAGCGCATTTAGCCAACCTCCGGATAGAAAGGAGAAAACAGCTGGAGGAGATCCTGGAGATGAAGTGAGTACCCATTTTTGTTTTCCTGGTTTCTCTTTTCTAACTTTCCTTTAGGGATGGGGAGAGGAAGGCTAGAGAAGACAAAGAAAGAGCTTGAAGAAAGAATAATTTAGCTAACACTTAACTATTCATTTCCGTGACTATGCTTCTTATGTTTTTTAATTATAGCTTCCATGTCCCAATTTGCACATTTTTCATATCTGTTATTCAAAAAAAAAATCCATCATTAAATTTTGTGCGTCTGTGTTTTGTGGACGGCGCTGTTAATCTTAGATTTGTCTCAAAGGTCTGAACTGGCCAAGAGACAGAGGCCTCATTAAGCACAATAGTAATTTGAGTGCTGCTCAGTGTTAAGTGGAAACTTTTCTGAGGAGGTATTTCCTAATTGTGACTATAACTTTGCTAATTATATTCTTTTCACATGTGTACAATGCGTTGCTTGTGTTGGCTTTCATAGAGTCTCAAGGTTGGCACCTCTTTGTTTAGAAAGCAAGGACTCTGATTTGCTGGTCTGATAAAAACAGACTTGGAAATCCCCCTGCCCCCTCCTCCCCCTCACCCCAGGGTAGGGTAGGTGAGGGGTAGGGGGAGACTGGAACCAATCTCTTTCTTTGATTTAATCAATAAAGTGTGGCCTCATGCTGGGCAATGATCCTTCCTGTGGGCCTGTGACACCCATCTCCACCTAGCTCTTATTTCATTCTTACAATGAAATATCACCATGGAAGAACATAGGAAAGAAAATTACTCAAGATTTTAGAAACAATCACTTGGCTATGGATCTATTCCTAAAGAAGTAGGCAAGAAGCAGCATCTCTCAACATAAGTTAAGATAATCACTAAGATATAATTTAACTTCCTTCCACAATAAGGGAAACGTACATAATTATGGCATCTTAAGCCCGTAACATAGACTTTGAAATTGGTGGCTAGGTATGGAAGCATGACCTTATCCTGACCCCACAAGTCTTACACATGGTTAACATTAAACCCAGAAAGCTTAGATCATGGAAAATATGGAATGAAATATTTTGAAGGATTTAATAATGAGGATAAGACTTTTATTACTTGTCAACTACCTCAGTTTCTTCAAGACCAAAGAATAAGTAGTTTTTTTATACATAAACTTGCATTTTTCCTAATAAAATAATACATAATAAAAACAGATATTATTATCCTCAGTTTAGAAGTGAGGGAACTGAGATTCAGAGAGATTTCAAGTAATTTGCTTAAGGCCATTGGCCAGCATTAAAACTGAAATCTTCTACCTCACGCTCCCTTTTCTACTGTCTTATTTTCTCATGGAGCTTATGTGAATTCCACCAAGCCTGGAACTTTCATCAGTTTGAGTCACCGTGGTTATCTTACTGCCTAGAACAGTGCCCAGCATATGGTAAATGCCCAGTAATTGCTTATTGAATGAGTGAATAGATTGAATGTGAAGACTGGATTTTATGTAGCTAAGAAGAAAAGTATTTCAAACATCTGTGACATTACCAGCTTGATCAATAATTTATTAACAATAGCAGTACATTGATTCCATCAAGCTTTATTCTTTTCCATTCACCAGTCCCACTTCTGCCACCTTGTATGTTGTGATGTGTGATGTTCAGCCTAGTTTCTTTCATTGTTCTCCAGCTATTCCCAAGTTAACTCTATCTCTTGGAGTGATTTATTATGCCTTTGTAGGGAAACTTCCATTACTTCCTGTTTATAAAAAGGACATATACTTTCAGCGTTTTGGAAGAGCAAGTAATGGTGAAGCACACTGGTTTGGGAGTCATCAGATCTAGGTTGGAATCCTATTGCTTCCACTTGGCGGCAGTGTGATTTAGGGGAAATGACCTTAAGATCGCTGGCCCTTCTGTTTCCTTCTATAATGACTTTCGCGGAGTATTTGAGAGGAGAGGCACTCAGGAGGACTTGGCCCATGGAAAATGATATATGTGTGTAAATGACGCTATCAGCCAATGAAAATATGTCATTTGTTTAGTATACTTTGTGAAGAGTATCATTTATCTGAAATTTGGATTTATTTTTCTTAAACATATAAACCTTTTCTGTGTGTATGTTTTCCCACTTAATTTCATGATTTCAGATAGCACCTAACTAAGACCTCTTTTGGTGAATTGCCACATTATTGCTCAAGTGCTTAATCTTCTGCCACTGCAAAATAAATACAGAATTCTTCTGTTAATTCCTTTGGTAAAAGTAACAAAGCCCTGCTTCATTAAGCCCAATATGGACCCTATTCACCATTTAATTGGCCCAGAAGCGCCACTTATGGGCTCCTTCCCAGGACTACGTGGGCACAGGTACAGGGCAATTATATTGACCAACAACCCCAGTTAGATTCAGGAGCCTCCTGGGCTGTTCAAGTCAACCAATTGGTTTGATCAATCTTGATTTTTAAGCCGAGCTGACATATGGTTACACAAATTTATACATGTGATGAAATTACATATGGTTACTGGACATTAACTGAGTCAACATAAGTTAGTAGAAAAAAATCAGACGGGTATATCCCTGTCAGTGTTTACTATCACTCTGTGCCAAGGATTATTGGTTTTCTTTTTTTTTTTTTTTTTAAGATTTTATTTATTTGAGAGTGAGAGAGAGAGAGAGAGCTCGAACAGGGGTAGGGGCAGAGGGAAGCAGACTCTCCTGCTGAGCAGGGAGACTGACGTAGGGCTCAATCCCAGGACCCTGGGATCATGACTTGAGCTGAAGGCAGACGCTTAACTGACTGAGCAGCCCAGGTGCCCTATTGTTTTTCTTTCAGCTTGGCAGGCATCATGTAAGCAACTTTAGGTGAAGTCTATCTATTTCCAAACCCTGTGGGAAGGGAGAGGCTGTACAGTATTAGAGGATGGAGAGGTGGGGCCATGAGTCAAGAGAAAGGAGGTGGGATATGTTAACTTACCCATAACATGAAGGAGATCACTCCCTGGTTACCTCAGTTTTATCTTCAGTAACATGGAGGTGATAATAACGACCTTGCCTACTTTATAGAATTGTTGTACAGGCAGGATTTTTTTTTTAAAGTACTGAACTGAAATGAATATAAATCAGCATATGTGAAAGTGCTTTGAAACATAAAAGGGGCTTTTGAAATGAAAGGTGGTGTCTGTTAAATTCGTTGTAAAATCAAATGGCACAGAGTTTTAAAATTGGAAAGCAGCTGGGTCCAACCTCCCAGGGTGCATAAACCAGACTCCTATCCACATAATTACTAATAGGGAATTCACCAGGCCCTGGTGAACACCATTCCCACTGGAAGTCATGGGCACTTGCAGGTACCTCACTGGTACTTAAATGGAACCGAAATGGCTTTCCATGTAATCTTCCCACTTTTCTTGGGTTTTGTTCAGAGCACACAGAATTCACCTGAGCCCCATACACAGCACAGACAGCATTTTAGATATTTCTTCTGGTAATAATAGTGTTCATTTCAGAAAAGAAAAATTAAGAAATATGAAGAAGCAAAATTAAAAAGAAAATCACCTATGATCCTACCACACAGAGACATACACTGATGGCATTTTGGTGCAAACCTTTACAAATACTCTTTACTTTTTTTTTTCTTTTTTGCTCTATATTTTTTTAACACAATTCAATTGTACTCTCATATTTTGTAAATCCTGCTTCTTTTGCTTACTGAATGGTGAACACCCTTCCATGTTATAAACATAGAATTGTATTATTTTTAATTTCTTAACATAATGTCATGTAGGTTCACTTCTTTATTGGACATTTATCTTAGTTCTTATGTTTTGCCAATATAAAGAATGTTTTGATAAGCATTCTTCTGTTCTATTTTGTTAACTTATTTTTAAGTAATTATAGATTGGTGTGCAGTTACAAGAAATCGTTTTCCTCAATGGTAAAATCTTGCATAATTATAAATTATAGCACAGGATCACACCAAGAAATTGATATTGGTACAATTTACCAACTTTATTCAGATTTCTCTGGGTTTACATGCACTCGTGTGTGTGTATGTAGTTATATGTAACTTCATCACATGTATAAATTTGTGTAACCACTGTCACAGCCAAGATATAGAACTGTTCCATCATTACAAAGATCCCTTGTGCTACCTTTTGATAGCTACTCCCACAACCCAGCCGTTTCATTTATCCCCAGAGTTTCGTTATGTGTTATATCATTCTGGGGCATGTGCCATACTTGTCTATATTTTTCCCTCCCATTCTCCTGGAGCAGGGCAGGGAATTATCTTCTTAGTTTAAATTTAGACTGAATTTAGAATGAGAAAATATTGCTTGATTCCTCTAAAGATTTCTCATGAGTTGGTTTTATTTTATTTATAATGGAATTTCTTTTTAATATTGGATATCTAGAACCTGTCGTGTGGCCGGCATTTTATAAACTTTTGAGGAATGAAAAGATGAATTAGCTAAAAAATTCATATTCACTGAGTACCTTCTATGTGACAGGTACTGTTCTAAGTGAACAAACAGAAAAATCCCACCTGATCAAGCTTACACTTTAGTAAAATGAGAGGAGGAAATGAATGAACTAATAAAGAAGCAAGTAAATGAATAGATAGATGAGAAAAAATAGTTTTTTCCTATAACCAAAGAAATTTGGAATCCCACTTAGAAAGCTATTCCAAAGGTAAGGACCGTTGTAGCTCTTTGGGGTAAAGAGGGACATGGAGTATTCAGTGTAACTTCCTAAGACTGAGAACCCTTTTAGGAACCGAGGTCAGAGGAGAGCCTTTGACTGTATTTCATGTAGGATTCTTCCCCCCAACACCTCCCCATTTAGTTTGGTCTTTATTGGTTAGTATTTTAATTGCCAGTCATTATTCTCACACTGGAAGGAACTAACAGTCCCCATCCCTGCATTTAAAAAAAAAAAAAAGATTTATTTATTTGAGAGAGAGAGAAAGTGTGTGAACCAGTGGGGGGAGAGGCAGAGGGAGAGAGAGAAAATCTCAAGCAGACTCCCCACTGAGCGTGGAGCCTGATGTGGGGCTC